AGCGCCATGGCCAAGGCTGCTGTTCTTTAACTCTAGCTGGAGGGCCCACCAGACCCTTCTCCTGTCTGAGCTGCCTCCTTTCTGATGCTCAGTGTCCTGGCCCATTTTCTGGGGGTGAGGTCATTGGATGCCATACTTGCTCTGGCTCACTTCCCTCCCCTACGTTCTGTCTTTGGCCTGTGCCGGGCCCAGGGCCTCGAGGAGAGTGCTTGGGGCTGAGATGCAGTCTTCTGGCTGAACCACTCACCCAGCACCTCAGGCCTTGGCGACAGGCAGGAAGACGGGCCACCTTTCATCTCCCGCCGCCCCCCCCCCGCCCCCCGACTCCGGGCTGAAGGATGCGCTTGACCCCGGGAATCTGCTCTCTTGCTCATTTGGGAGCTGTCAGTGCCGTTCTGGTCCCCAAAGGATGCTAACGTTGAAACGAAAACAGAAACAAAAGCAAAACCTGTAGGCGGGCGTCCAAAAAGAGGCAGGCTTACTCCATCCCTGGGCCTGTAGCTCACAGGAATGACAGGCTGAGCTACCAGGCGGCAGGACACCCAGGGCTACAGCTGCGCAGAAGGAAGTTGGTAACTGCGGATGATCAAGGCAGGCGAGAGCAGGTGTACACGTGGGGGCTTTGTATCTGGCTAGAGATTCGGGCCTGACAAAACACCTGTTGCCCTCTGTCCTTCCTCCAGGGGTGTCCCAGAGCACACGGTGACAGCTTCTGTCCAGCACCTTTTCCTACCTCATAGAAATATCAGAGGACGTATTCAATTATAAAGAAGAAAATATGAGGAACGACAACCCCACCCAGCATAGCCACTGCCACTCTTCCATTGTTCCCGTTGCCACCTTAAAATGCATTTCCCATCACTGAGACCACGGCCTAAATAGAATTTGATGTTTTTCTACAGTTTTATGCTCTGTTTTCTGCACAGTCTCCTGGACTGGACCGCTGTGGGGACAGCATGATCAGGGAGCTCACGAGGGGGAGGCTGCCCCCGTTGGGGTGCGGCCTCAGGGCGGACAAGCAGGCACCCCTAATTCAGCTCTAGGTGCCACCGCAGCTCGATCTGAAGCCTGAGGCAGCCGGTACTGCAAATCTGCTTCGAGACGTGGAGTTTTCAGCACATTCTCCCAATCTCTTACTTATATACTTCCCACTGCTCTTGGCAGGACAGCTTTGAAAGTGTTTGGCATCCTATACTTCCATTTGCATTTCCTTTCTGCAAGGCACTTTCTTAACGGAGCTGCTTATTCCTCAATAGGAAAAGGCTTCCAGGTTGAAATGGCTCCAGTTCTCAGTATAGGGTGCCCAGAGTCTCGGTATCTTGTTGTTGTTGTTTAGTTTCTTGCTTTAATTTAAATGTTTTAAAACTTCTACTTCATTTAAGTTGGTTTTGAAGATACAGGGAATGGGGAAGATAACAAACCTAACAGGTAGCACCAGGGAAAGAAAGATGGACAAAACTTAGATAAGAAACTTAAAAAAATAACATGGTACAGAAATTCTGAACATATTTACAACCATTGAATTGTACACTTTTAATGGGTGAATTGCATGATATGTGAATTAACCTATTTAAAATTGAGAGAGAGAGAGGAGAAAGAGAGAGACATCGATTTTTTGTTCCACTTATTCATGCATTAATTGGTTGATTCTTGTATGTGCCCTGACCAGGATCAAACCCATAATCTTGGTGTATTGGGAGAACCCTCTAACCAACTGAGCTACCGGCCAGCGCCTCAGTAAACCTTTTTCAATGGTACAGAAAGAAGGGGGGAGAAACATGGTATCTGTGTTGGAGTCCAGGTCAGAGAAGAGAAGAGGAAAGGCGACGTTACCTGTGTGCTTTAAGAACACCCATGTAAGCGATTCGTGTGCCTGCACGCCTGGGCCTGCAATGAAGCCATGTTGGGGAGGGCTCCGCTGGTTATATTTATAGCCATGTGGTTGCTACCGGCAGCCAGCAGGTCTCACTTCTCTTTTCTCCACGTCCTAATTCTGTTCTAAAATGCCGCTCTGATGGCAAGGCCTGTGAGTCCGCGCACCTACGCGTCACACAGGGGCTTCCTAGGTCTGCTCTGGTCCCACACAGGCCTGTGCCCTGACCTGTCTCTGGTTGCAGCACGAAGTCTGAAGGACTGGGGATCCAGACCCTCCCGGGGCCATGAAGATGAACCTCTGCTTGGGGTGGCCCTATGTCCCGTGTGTTTCAGAAGCACTTGAGGAAGGCAGTTAAAATGCACTCTCCAGAGCACACCCAGAGCTTCTGATCTCATCGTTCCCAGCAGAGCCTGGGGATCTGCCTTTTGGGCAGCCACTGGTGTGATGCTGATGCTAAAAGTTCAGAAACCACACTTGGAAGAGCACCCCGATTCTGGTGTCACCCAGCCATCACCACCAATGCAGCAAAAGAATGCCCTGTCTCCCCTCGGGTCTCCATCACTTAGGCTTCACGTCCCGGATCATCAGATGGACTCTGCACGCTCCCCTTAGCCCTCCCCGCCTTGGGGACAGCATGTGCGTTGAGAGGGGCTCCCACGGAGACTCAGTCCGTGCAGCCGCTCCTTGGGGACCGCCCACTGCACCTCCTCGCTAGAAGACACAGGGTGCGCTGCAGGAAACAAAGCTAATGGTGGGCAGGCCCTGGTTCGTGACTCCCTCTCGCACAGCTCTTCCCCAGCTCCGAGTCCTCGTTGACCTACACACAGGCACACCCTCAGCACAATATCAAGCTCGCTTCTCCTGTGGGCATCACCACCCACTTCCCTGCACAGCCAGTCCGCCATTTCTCGGCTCTTATGCCCAAGTTTTGCATAAAGTATCACTGTTATGCATGCTTAGATCCTAAAGACTTTTGTGCACCGTGTACACGTGCCCATGCTCGTATGCAGGCGCGTGCGCGAACACACACACACACACACACACACACACACACACACAGAGGAAATGGCAGGGCACAATACCAATACATCACCATATCAACCTCTGGTCTAGAGGTGCCTTTTATGATGCAAAGGGCATATGGTTCAGAGCTTAGAGACCTCAGTTCAAATCCTACCTCTGCCACTGCCTAGTTACCTGACCTTAGGACGTTAGTTCCGGTCCCTGGGCCTGAGTTTCCTTATTGGGATGAAAAGTGAACGCTGGTGAAGCATCTAGGACTGTGCCGAGAACCCGATAGGAAACCCACGAGTGTTAGGTAACTCTTTTAGTTCTATGTTCTATTTTATTTTATCTTTTCTCTCACAGGGCATATTAGTCAGGCTCTCAATTGCCAAAAGCAGCGGCGAGGGGATTGATGCGAGGCGGTGGGGAGCTCGCAGAGTTGCCAGGAGGCTGAGGAGCCAGTTGCAGAGAGTGGGCTGGAACCGACAAGCTCACCCGAGACCATGGCAGTCTGCACCTCCCACCTCCGGGCAGCCTGGTGCCTGACCTCCCACCACTGCCCTGAGCCCTGGATGCACTGCCCGTCCAGGCAAAACCAATTCTCTGTTGGCTCTGCTTCTTGCATCACTTGCTCTGGAACTAAAACAGCTCAGAGAGAGGGACCCAGGCCCTCAGGGGCCGGGCTGTCCTCCGGCTGCAGGGGTTGGGGTGGCTCTAGCTGTTTTGGCTTCCATAGTTGGCATTCCTCAAGACTCAGAGCATTCAGAGGTCAGGCAGCCGAACAAGACCACTGTGCAGAGCGGATTCTCACCTCTTCTGATGCTCAGGTCTCATCCCCATTCACACACAGTCCTTCTTAAGTTCCCAGGGCACTTTCTCCATATCTCCAGGGTCGCATCTGCCCTGTTTTCCTACCAATGAGTGATGTGTTTAAAGGACCGAGGTGGGCTCTTGACCGCAGGAAGTCTGTCTCACATCCTCGTAGCCCAGGTTCTTAGCACCTAGTAGGTGCTTAATTATCTTTGGGAACATACCTTTCTGCCTTGTCTCTCAACACACAGGCTCCTTACACACACACACACACACACACACACACACACACACACGGCACAGATCTGTTTACAACATGGAAATAGGCCTGCGAATGTGTCCTGCATACTGTGAAGTGTTGGGCAAGTGCGCCTGATCTTAGCCAAAAGGCTGAGAAGCGGTAAATGTTGGACAAATGAAAGCCGACATATTGTTTATTTCATTCTCGTTCGGCAATTCCTGTTGAAGAGCTGCGTGCCCTTAGTACTGTTTTAACAGGAGGAAGTTAGGGCGCGGGATTCCCGTCCACCTTTTCCAATTCTGCGGAGCATCTTGGTTCCTTGCCGTCAGAAAGCGACCCAGACGGAGGGGCGGGGCCCAGCCCAAGCAACCCCTTGCCCCGGGGACTTTCTGATGAGCTGCCCCGAGTCCCGGCGGGTCCCGACCTGGCCGCTCCGTCCCCCTCTCGCAGCGCAGGTTGGCAGGGGCCACACGCGCGCACAGCCGCCCCTGCTCACGTCCCCAACCGCGGGTCCGGTTCTGGCTCCGAGCAGCCGGCGCGCCCGCCCCCGAACGGGCCCTGGTGCACTTGGCCGCCGGGTGCTGCCCGCG